CTTCCGCATGGCAACATTTAACTGCAGACGCATGCCACGCATTTCGTTGTTAACTTGTAATGGTTCGACATACAAGTTGTTGACCTGAAGTCGCTGCCTCTACTTGGGACACCTTTTGGAATCAGCTGGATATTAGCTTTATGGAATCACGGATCCTATACCTCACCATCCAGACAGATCCTTCTTACTATTTTGTATAGGTAGGATGCAAGCGATGCACTTCTTAATAAAGTTACAAACTCTATCAGGCCCTGCCGCTTTCCAGTTGCACAAATAGCAGACTATATTTCCGAATTCGGCTTCAGAGGGAAAAGTATGATGCACTTCATCACCTGGAACGAATTCTTCCAGATATTCGTTCTGTTGAATATCATCATACTCTTCCATTCTGAAATTCCACATCGTACCCCAAAAATTCCTGATTTCCTTAGTCCTTACATTGTGGTTCACGAGCTATTCTTTGGTCAGACTTCTAAAAAACCGTCTTCTGGAAGCTCGAATCTGGCATTTTGTATTTTGAGTGCACATCGGGTCTCAATACTTTTTGATTTTACTTTCGTAAACTCTCACACGTTCTTTCAACATGATTAGTGCTTGACACTCCTTGGTCTCTTTTAAGTCTTTACCTCCAAGTTATATATATATATCACTAATTTAGAAAATGAATAACTCACATTCATTAGATTGAAGACTCGTTCTGATTTCTGTTGATCTAAGGTATGATAGCAACCAGTGAATAATGGAGAGGCTACAGTTGTATAAAACTTAACATTATGCTGCATTGTCCGTAAGTTGAAATCATACCACGCACCCATTGTCTTGTTGTAAAAAATGCTATCAACGCTTTCTCGGAATTGCGTCCACATGTCACGATATTTGTGTGATTCCGTCTGATTTCCTTAATAATGTTACGTTTATTATTTCCTTAAGATTTGTCAACTGCATTTCTGAAAACCTTTGATTATCTTTGTGAATGTGATCGAAACTGTACAACACTCACTACACATTACTGTAGTACTTCCGAGTGATCAAACATGGATCATGTAATCACATTATTTGAAGACTCACTATCTTGCCAATTTAATTGATAAGAGGGGCAAATATATTCCAAAGTGATCATATAGTATTTAAACGCATCGTAATTTTTTCTTACCAACAAGTTCATAAAGATATTCAAGAATATTCATATTCCAGCACATGAATGCATTCAGATCAACTGGTAATATGCGTGTTGTTTCAATTGTTTTCAACGAATATTTGTCTCGTAACCAACGACTACTGAAATCCCAGCCAGACTCAGCGGTACTTGCAATATTCTGAAAATATCTAGCATAATTCTTCTAGGCTGTTAGATACTTGAGATTATTTTTAATGTTAGCGCTACCAAACCTGCCAAAACTCCAATTTGTTACTAACTCCTTCTGCAGATATTATATCTTCTCGATAAGATTCAGGTCTCGGTACATTCGTATCAGTTCGGTACTGATACACAGTATGGACATTTTCATTCTTCATTGTTACATTGACTGTTCTGTACTATCCAAAAAATGACTTGTTATCTTGCATGTATTCCATGGTGTTATGAATGTAGTCTTTCAATTATTTTAAAAAATATTTTTTATTATCAAATATTTGATTTCTAAATTATAATACGGTTTCCTTTAATTGCTCCAAAATTGTCATCACATTAACCTGTACGTTTGCCACCACTGAAATTCTTTGGTTAAGATAGGTAAAAGTTTTCGAACAAATTCTCGATCTTGAGTATTCTCATAATACTCATAAACCATTCCACAAAGCAATGGAGGTTGAGAACGGTGTGAATAATATACCCTACCACCATTTGGTACAAATCCGTACCTGAAATTGCGTAATTTGTGAATTAACTGGTTATTTTTAAATAAGTTTTAAGTTCAATCGAAGAAAAAACAAGTACAATACTTATTAAAATCAAAGCAAAGGAAAGTTTTTTCTCTTTCACAAAGCATTCTCTAAGGTTAAAGTTGATCAAAATTTGATTTTTTTAGAAAATCGAATTGATTTGAGCTTAAGGTCAGAATTTGTGGCACTGTGATGGAATGAGATTCCTCGACTATCAATGTGTTATGTAATAAATCAAATGACCCCAACTAGAAACTAGCAAACAGATAATATTTAACTTGATTTGATAATCTTTTCCAAAATTCAAAGCAAAAGCCTTGGATTTGAGAAATTAACGTCATGCACAGTGATGTTTTAGAATCAGAAGAAGATCACTTATTCAAAATTATAATCAGTGTTTAAAACATATCTACCAAAATATTAATTGAAGCCAAATGATAATTTATGCTTTCACTATATATAATTGTACTCAGACAAAAACATGCAATGATTCTTATGTAGAGCGAAATGAAATGAAATAGTTAATGAAGTAGCTGAATATTAAAAAACTCTTCATGGAATCGACTTGGTTTCAAAATGAAATTAACGAACTTCTCAACGACATGAGCTAAATTGAGAATTAATTCCTTTGCTGTTTTAAGCATTTCAGATGCAATCAGCCCTTTTAAGGTCCAGTAATTATCCCAGTAATAATATTCTCTGAAACGACCTCCAGCCATGATAAAATCATATGGCACTTGGATTAGAGATGAACGGGACTCGTATTTTCTCATTTCAGGATCGATCTGAATTACAATCACCATAGTGAATTGAATAAGATCATGCAGTCACAGATAATGTTAGAGGGCAGATGTCAGCAGAAAGAAAATTGATAAAACAAACTGTCTTGCAAAGAGTTTGCCATAAACTATGAATACTTAATGCCCAATGACGAAGACTTTCGTCAGAAATTTGCATAATTTTTTTCGGGTACGGTGTCCAATCCACGGGAGTACAGTTTTTGAGCTCACTAGCGGGTGGCAAGAAATGTTCATCCAAAAACTTCTTCAATTGATCACGAGGAATCTTTGCAGCTGGCAAACCTCGAAATCTTCTGTTAAATTGATCCAAAGTATATTCTAGAAAAAAGTTGCAAGTGTTTATTTAGTTCTAGATCAAATTGTAACCTCAGTCAAATTTTTTTGTCCGATCCATTAAACTAAGGTTCACATAACAAACACGTCAAAGTTATAGTAAAGATTTACTGCCACGTGAAATGTTTGTTTTCGGCATCAATCTTAGTTCATATAATGGAATTGAAATTTAGCAAATTGTACATACCAGGGTCATATTTTAGTACCATATCAACAAAAGTCTTCGAATCTTTGAAAATACGATTTAGATTTACTGCCTCAAGAATTCTACCGCTGCAGTATATAAACCTGCAATAATTCATACTTAAAATACTACATTAGAAGTGCAAATGAGAGGAAGAAGCCTTCTAACTGATATTTGCATTGTTTTCAGCAGGTGCAAAAAGCATTTTTTACGCAAAAAATTACGACTAGACAATGATGGCGGAGGCAATTTTTTTATTTACTATAAGGTGTTAAAATTACGAGTTATTTGTATTTGTTGCATCGCAGACATTAACTGTTCGGTTCAAAGGTAACGGTTCATCAACTCGAAGTACAGTATTACCATCATCCGAAGTACTTTCTGCCTTTGACCTTATCGCTATTAAAGTTATTATCAGTAAATGACAAACGAAAAACATGTTATTATATAGCAGATTGAGCAGAAAACAATTTAGGATTTCTAAAAATTAATTAATTTTCAGTTCAAATTCCATCCTTTGGTTACGCGAAATCGTCAACACTATCAGTAATAGTTCACTTTATTACTTGGAATTTCATAGTATCAGTAGTGAGATAATTTATATTACAATAATACAAAACTTTAATTTTTTTAACCAAAGATAACCTAACTAATTTGCAATATTTCATGGACTTTCCTTTCTATTTCATTCCTAAAATAAAGGCGCATGCAGTTACTCATTTCCAATATTCAATCTTTTTTCGATCAGCACACAATGCTCCTGCTTGGCATGCAAGTACCTTGATTAAATTTTTTTTTACCAGCATAAAAATGGAATTTATTTAGCAACCCATCAATTAATATTTGAGAGTGGCTAACAACTAGAAGTGTCTACAAACCTAAACTATTATTAAAAACTTTAAGTTCATAACGATGAATATCTGAAAATTATTTTGCGGTATCAACGTTCTTCGGTAGTCTTAAATTTGATCATGAAAACTTCGTGAATTATAGAATTAAAGCCAAAAAATGATCAGATCATGCGAGTCTGCATAATGTTAGCTATTTTTGGGAATATTTTCAAGTTTTAATGCTTTTCAAACAATTACTGAAGTATATGCATAAATGAAACGAATGTACTGTAGACTGTGACCTGAAGTGTTTGCAGAAATTTACTAGCAATCAAAGCGTAAAAATTAAATAGAATCATACACTTATGTTACTGTAAATTTATAAATATTCTTCAAGTGAGTACTATAAATGTCACGAAAACTGGAAGTGAAGATTGCAAGTGGATAAAGTTCGATTTTTTCACTGAAATAATTTATATAACTCATTAATATCTGAAAAGTAAGTACGCCACACACTGGACGCAGCAGAAAAATTTTGGAAAAAAAATTGGTTACGCGTTGAAAAATAAGGCTAAACGGAATCAAGCGTGTTTTTTCTGGTTTTGAAGAATCCACATATGAAGAATGGACAATAAAAGTGAACCGAGAAGGAAAATAATGACCCAGACTACTCATCAGTGCAGTGCAGCAAGAGTAATAGATGTCTGTTGTGAAGAGAATGTTTAGAGGAAATTAAAAATAAAGACTGAGGTCATCGACCGACCTCGGCGTTTTCTGTAAGAGTGCTAGAGTAAGTGACAAAGAATCAGAGACTTGATGTCATGAGGTCAGGAGGATAGACTGAAATAAATGTCAAGATAGTCGTTAGTCTTACAAAAATTTGCTTCATTTCAATATCTGCAAAAATTTATTAATGCAAAATAAAACTGTGAATGAAAATCTTTGACTTCTTAAATTGACATTAAATATTTAAATAAATTGCATTTACTTGTGAATTACACCACTATTTCTGGCCTGTTGTTTGAAATGAGATTAAGTACAGTAATTATATATTATGCGAACAAAGTGCGTGCTTAAAAAACAATTAAAATGAAATGGATCCAGCACTGATGCAGGATTGCACTTCCACAGCCTATTTAAGCTGCCTTGATCTGCTTTAAATATCCATCACTTTTTCAATCATCTGAACTTTACAACTTCAAACCACAATTATCTTAAGTTCCGTTCTGTAGTCAACTGTATGCAACAATCAGCTTCATATTGTAGTGCAGTAAATTTTTAGAAGTTAGCTTTATACTTTGTATGAAAAACAATTACTCAGATTAATCTGCTGCCATCGACCTCAAGATATTATCAGTTTTAAATTATTCTCAAATTGACTACATTTTTGTGGTCGTAAACAGAGCCTTTTTTTATTATTGCTCACTTTACCTACCAGACAATCCAGTGAACTTCACAAATAAGCAAGTATATTACTTCTTCATCAACTGATATTATTTCACGCCTCAAACATAATTACATATTTTATTTTTGACATTAGAATATTAAGTTTGCTAAAAATAAATCCAGCAAACTTCAGTAATTAATTAACAAACTAAAATTTAAGAATGATCGATCAATCAATCAGCAAATCAATTGATTTATCAAATGTAATGTAACTTAAACTTCAATGTGAGCATTGCGAAGAAGTGGTCTCTTTTCAAATCCTGTAATTAA